TGCTGCTGCTGCTGCTGCTGCTGCTGCTGCTATTACAGAAAATACTTACCAGCTGCTGCATACTTTGTGAACTGGTCCAGTCCAGCCTTGGCACAACTGTAAGGGAACGCCCCTGGGACCTGAGTACGACCACAGTGGACAAAATTAGTGGAGCGATGAAAAAAAAATTATGATGGTTGAAAAAGCAAGAATACGACTCTCTTCCTCGTAGAAAACCTGAGGCGATCTAATGTATCAAACTAAAATGTAAACTAATATTAATATTAATCCTCCACATTGTACTCAGCAATTTATCATCATCCTCATCATCATCATTGCAAAAAGCAAGGAATAAAAAAAGGGTTGAGACTTTCCACATTTCATCATAATCTCAAACCAAACAATAATTTTCCTTCATATTTTTACACTCGCTGGGCCCCCTTTCGACGAAAGGAATGATCGGTGCATTAACATCAACTGAAAGCCATTGGCCTACTTAGCATATTCATACTCTATTGTAATGGAGTAATAAATCTTGAGAGATGAAAAAAATTACAATGTCTAGATTTATAATCTCAAAACATAAATGTGCCTCCCGAAATATCACTTCGGCACATCCACTGCGAAGGGCAAGTACGCAGATTTGTTTCATTTTTCAGTGGAATAATGACAAAGGCTAAAGAAGGACGGGAACTTTTTGTCAAATATATTTGTCTAAATTCAGGAAATGAATAAATAAAAATTCGGGCTCCGCCTTGGGGACATATCTATCTTTTTGAAGGTACTTAGTACTTGCAAACTTTCAAGTCTGTAGCTGTCAAAGTTTTATTGGAAAGTGGCACATCTGTTTTCATTGTTGCCAACATATAAAATAGATGTACAGATTGATTTTCTACCCCGCTTTCGTGGTTGTACACTCCAGATTTTCAAAGGCGTTGAAACACTGCGCACGGCTAGTGAACGGAAACCTCACTTGTTCACATTGGCGTCTTACAAGATGGACTTTCCCAATATTAGATCTGGAACACCTTGCCCCAGGATCTCAGTGAAACAACATATTTTGATAGGTTTAAACGATTGCTCAAGATTCATTTGTTTAATTGTTAGTTATATGTATATAGTGTGTCAGTAAGTTTAGATTATATATATATATATATATATATATATATATATATATATATATATATATATATATATATATATATATTTATATATTTGTCCTTTCCTTATATAGATCTAGATCTATAGTTAATGTATGGTTGGGAAAGTTCTTTAGGTGGTTGTACTGGTTTTTCTTGTTTCTGTGAAATATTTTTTCTAGTGTGAATAATTATGTGATTGGTGTAAAGGGCTCAGAGTTTATACATGTACTAGTATGGGATAGAGCACTATATAAATGTAATCTACTACTACTACTACTACTACTACTACTACTACTACTACTACTACTACTACTACCACTACTACTACCACTACTACTACCACTACTACCAGAGGCGAAGCGTCTATATAATCAAATAATCACTGCTTCCCTTCCTAATTTTGAAACACTGTTGCAGTCAAATTCACCCATAGACGTAAACCTCATAAATTAAATGTAAAAAGACGTTCATAATCACCAATGAACAATAGACTATGCCTAACCTTCAAAACCGTTTCATTGCCACAGAAATAGCATGTTCGCCCCTATCGGGCCTCTCCATAAGCAGTCACAAGCTTTGATTATGTAAGCTTAAAGTGAGGCTGGAAGAGTCAATCAATGGATTTGAAGGGAACATGTGCATAGCAGTCAGAACTGTTTCATTGTCGCATATACCTTGTTCACACTTTCGGGCCACAGTTATAAGCACAAAGACGCGTTGATTATCTAAGCGAACTATTACACTGGTCGAGTCTACCTCACAGATGTGAGGGGAACTAACTCCTAATAATCCTTTGACTCCTGCTACTACACTGCTAGTGCTTGTTTTTTTCCTCGACTTTTTAACGTCCTATAATCAGATCGTGACCTCGATTATGACAGCGGCTCCTGGCCGCGAAAAGCTAGACAAAAAACAGCCAAATGTGAAATAAAAAATTGATAGTTGGCGTGCTCTACCAAAGTGTTTCGGCTGTCTGGTATAACATGCCATTGTATTGCTGACATCTGTGCTTCTTTCCTTGGTGTTCGTGTGTTCAAATCTAATGTTAAATTTAGGGTTAGTTAGAATAAATATTTAATGAAACACTTTCCCGATTATTTTAGCGGTTGAACAAGCATACAACATGAATTCAGGATTTGTTTTCATTCACAACTCTGAGTTGCCGCCTCCAGTGCCAGTAAGATTCTTGTGACTTGTGTGAGTGTGATATCTCCAGGCCCTATCTGGTCCCATTTCACTTTGATTACCCTGTCAAACAAGTCAGCCTTCGCCCCTGATTACTACTACTACTACTACTACTACTACTACTACTACTACTACTACTACTACTACATCTACTACTACTGTTTTGACTCTAGGCACTTTACATGTGTTCAAAATTTACTAAAAGTTACTTTCTTTCCAGTCTCACTTCCTGACAACGCTTGACCTACCATAGGTCCCTCTCTAAAAAATATGTAGTGTGAGCGTTATAGGCTCAGCATTATGTTCCTTAAAAAAACAACCCACAATGATTCCTACAAAGCGTGCCCTAAGAATGACGGGGTTCTGATTCCACTTTTTGCGAGAAGTATTGCACCAAAAGCTCGAGATTTTTTTTCTTTCGGTCGGGTATTTTTTCAGTTTGATAGTGTCCGAATCGTTCTTTGTATACAATTTGCTAAACACTACGTGTCACAGAGTTTTAAACTTGCAATTCTTAAGGCGACACAAAGGCCCGCCTCAGTCTTTTTCTTTAAATTTAAGTTGGGGGCAAATTGCTTATTATTTGGCATCTATTGTTTTGGATGATATCCAAAAGCTTTGACCAGTGTTCGTGGTGTAACGGCGCAGCGCTTGCCATCGCTCACAGGATTCCCTCTTGAATAGGAAAAAAGTTAAAGATGGATAACTGACCTGAATTCGATTACATGTTCATCCATGTAACTCACTCATGAAAGCATCGATTTTATTTTCCACCAGTATGAAGTTAGGTAATGGTATGAATAAAAAGCCCTGAAAAGTTCATTGGAATCAAAAAGAAAATTTTATAAAAAGTAGATGAGAAAAAAACCACCAAAAATTGAAGTTTTGAGAAAAAAACGACATTATGTTACATAATAGGCAAAGTGAAAGCTCTAGGACAGAAAATTTGAAAGATGATGATTGTAACACGAAGAGTAAACACTTTTTAGTTTGCAAGTGATTGGAGTATCATAATACGGAAAAAGTCCGGATACCATAGATTGACCAAAAACCGTTAATTAAAAACCAGCCCCCCCCCCCTTTAAGTGAAGTGGTTCGGAAGTTTTAGGTGGCTAAAGTGATGAACTTTCACAAATATTATATAGAGAGATAATACCGATAACAGTAAAAAATACTTTGCACCTAGTCAGGACATAGGAAAAAAGAAAAAAAACCCGAAAAAACCCCCAGAAAACAGAAAAGCAAACTAAAAATTATTCAGCCTCTCGTATGCCCCAGAACTCTAATTGTAAACCTTAATTTCGCCCCCGTCCCCATCCCAGATCCATTCTTGAAAGAAGTCAAAATTGTGTCTTTTACACAATACGTTACGGCGAACTAAGTGTTGCCACACCGACAGTGAAGACCTCGGTGTGGATACTAGATCAAGTAGTTTCTACAAATTCTACAAATTTTCAAAACGTTTCTGCTTCTGGGCTCAAACGTTACTTTTAATTTTCATCCACTTTGGAATGCTGAACACGAAACTGATAGCGTGACATTTATAGTTAGGTCATTTGGGATATTCTAACAAGAAGTTTTGCGTAAAAATGAGGGTCAGCTGATGTTGAAGCTCCGGCCTGTTCTTCGGTGACATCTTTTTTCTTCTTCTTTCTATTCAAAATAAAAATGTTCTCTGGAGTAACACTGATTGGTAAAGCATTGCTGTGAGGTACAGTAGGGTGTCGGGTGGATGGAACATCAGTATACTCTATTTTTGTAAATTATATTATCGTCCTTTCTGAACTGGTTGCACGATACAAAAGAAGCAGTCATCTAAATGATTGTTAGGTTCACGTTAAACCATAGACACTGGAAAGGGCATTGATATATTTTTCTTTTGCAAACACTGTCGAAAGTGTGTGGTACCAGCTTTGCATCTTAGATAAAGGCGATAGACGTTTTTAGCTGTTTTCTCCTTTGCAAAGTAGAGGTATTTCGACGCAAAAATAAACATATTATTGGCAGTGTTGTTTACACAATGACGATGCAAAGTGACTCTTAATATAGAGTGAAATAAGCTGTTTCTGGCTCTGAAACACTGGCTTGCTGAATGAAAACTAATTGGTCACAATGAACAGATGAAACTGATGTATCTCACAGCTTAGAAAATGTGCCAAAATATCAATAATCCTCGTTAATCGATCTTTAACTAGATCTTAACAGAAAACCCCCCATCGTTTTCGAATTCAGAATCCTCAAATTAGTGTAAGTATCTATTGGTTTTAAGCTTAAAGAAAATTCCAGTGTAATGTAAGGCTGCTTCGACCCTGTCTGACAGGAAGAACCAGGGAGGAGAACATACAATTAGACCGACGGAGATACTCGATAAAAATTCTCCTCTTATACGGGGTGCCCACTACGGACGGGATCGGCCGATCGAGGGCGATCGCCCGACTCGATCGCCTGAAACTGAAAACAAACACGTTTGTTTTTGAGGCGATCGAGTCGGGCGATCGGGCTGATCGGCCGATCCCATCCGTAGTGGGCACCCCGTATTACAGGAATCGAGCTAATGTTTTTTGCATGAAACGACAAAGAGCCTAACCATACATAGGTCAAACAAAGAAGAGGTACTTAAAGAAAACATGGCATTTGACGATGCAGTAAGATGCACTGTTTTGAGGCACTTTGGAATTAAACATACTTTTGTTATACATAGTACAGTTGTTTGAATACTTTATTTTCTTCATCTGAAACGTAAAAACACTGTCAACCAACGTGCTAACCCAGTACAATAAAATGTGCAAATTTATGTTTCTAACGTGGTTCGAAAAGTTTCGTCTGCTGACATAATTAAGTCCTCTACGTCGTAATAAAGTTATACTTACAACCATTGTGCTTAGAATACTGGAGATATTGATGATGTTGCCTGAAACAAATTGTAAAGCATAATAATAATATATAATAAATCAATGGGGTTCCCAGAAATCTTGACCAACGCCAAAAGTGGGCATTGCCCTACTTATAAGAGAAGTTTGATTTCATTGGTGTATAATCTGTTTCGTTATAAAAAAAACTCTCCTTGACTTAAGGGGTTATGTACACGGTACGAGGAATTTTCTAGGGGTTTGACTTTCTTTCAATTTTTAAAGGTGATAAAGGCTAATTATAGACTAATTAGAAGAATCATGACGGAATTTGTCGAGTTTTATGCAAAAGTTGGGTTTCTATGACGGCCATCTTGGATTTTTGGCCATGTTGCAGGGGAAATCGTTTTCCACAGAAAATATTAAAATTCAAACCTCAAATTTACACACATATTAACAAACAAATTATCTGTGATCGTAGACTTTGATTTTTTTCCTATTGTTAAAAACAACAAAAATATAGATATATTACTGGACCAGCACCGTAAAAATAGTACGATGTGAAAAAATCAGGAACATTTAAAAAAGTAATCACTCTTTCACAAAATCCCTGCCTACGATCACAGAACCTTTGATACAGCATGTGTGCCAAATTTCAAACATGTAGCTCTGGTAGTTTCAGAAAAATGATTTCCCCCTCGTTGTCACCATAGTGAAAAAGTACTTTTTGAGAAAAACGCCCACCCCAAAAAAGATTGGAAAACGTCAAAGTGAAAAAATCGAAGGCCTTGTAGGCGATAAATTGGGTATTTTTTAAACGTTGGCACATTTTTCAGATGGAACTTATCAGGCTATTGATAGTTCATTTTCTTCTGAAGTTAGCCTTCACAAACAAGTGCTCATGACTATCTTCATTAATCTTTAGTCCCTGCCCTTGACCAGTTACGTACAAATCAGTGGAATAATTTAGTGACATTCCGATATAACGTCAACACACAGTGCGTGCCTGCGTGTGCATGTACATTAATTGGTTATGTTTGTTGGTGTGTGTGTATGTGTGTATTATTGTGCGCGCGTGCGTGTGTGTG